AAAAGTCATTTTAATTTTAAATAAAACTCTATGCCAAAAGATATGCCAATGACAGAGATCCAAAGTGTCCAGATATATCAGTAAACAAAAGAGGGAAAGCTGCAAAACTGAATGTATGATCTTGTTAAAAAAATTATATATGTGTGAACATATGATTACATACACACACACATACACGTAATGCACAGAATAAAATGAGAGGATAAATGGAGTCATTTTTTGCTTGGCACAATTTTGTATTTTAAAAACATTTTTGCAATAAGTATGTATACATTTTATAATAAAAACCAATAAAATATAGAAAATGCCACCAATATACCAGGACCCTGCTGTTTTTATTTCTGCCATTTAATTTTTTCTACTTCATTTTTACCAACTGAAGTTTCCTTACCACTTTGTGAAGTATGGGAAAAGAGGGGAAATATTTCCCTGGCGAGGAAAGAATGGGCTGAAGTGACAAATTCAATATGTATCTGAATATCTGGTAAATACATCTGTCTTTATGACTTTTCAGTTTTTAAAATGATTTAATATTTAAAACTAAAAGTAGAGAGAATGATATAATAAGCACCGATTTACAGAAGCTCAGCTCTAACGGCTTCACCGATTTACAGAAGCTCAGCTCTAACGGCTTTACTGTACTTGAGTTATTTTAATGGAAATAAAGTGTTACAAAAAAGGTTGGAGGCCCTCCATGCCCCTGCTTGGCTTTAATCCCCTCCCATCCCAGAGTTGCTCCTCCACCTGGGTGATTACATGTTTCCTACGTCAAATACAGACAGGAGCAGCAGCAGGGTCTTCCCTGCTCAAGCCCACGCAGGGCAGACCAGGGAAGGGGGGAAGGCAAGTTTACCTGGGGCCTGCAAGAAATTATAGTACTACTACACATGGAGGCTTTCATCACACCAGGAGGCACACACTGGTGGTAAAGCCCAGGGTGGAGAGATATACCTAATTTTTAAGCACTTTTATCTTGTAGTCTTATAGCAAGAAAATTCACAAATTATACACAGACTCCAGTGAAAAGCTGTCAAGGTGAGTTGGTTAAAAATTTAGATAAACTGGGACTTGTTCTCCAAGTCGCATGCTATGTCAGCCAGCTAGAACTAGCAAAATGAAGCCTGGTTCTTCTCAAAACACCCCCTCTCTCAGGTCCAATATCTCTATAGTTTACAACACATGACACGCCAACAGAGGCAGATATACACCTGCATGTAATTTTAAGGACACTACCTAAAAATAATTATCAAGTTCACTGCGTAAGATGTATTCATCTACCCAACAGAATAGGTGCAGGGATATAGTAACACTGAGTCCCAAACCAAACACACACGTTCATGTCCTCACGGAGCTTGCTGACTAATGGAGAGACTCACACATATCAAAGAATCTGGTATGAGGTGGTATGAGGCAGAAGGACGTGGTGCTGCGAGAGGAAAATAAAAGGGGACATCACCTGGGTGGAGAAGTCGGGGACAGCACAGTTACCTAAGGGAGAAAAGGGGCAGATTTCAGGACTGGGGAATAGCACGGAACAGAAGCCAGGCATACGAGGGAGCAAGCTGGGAACCCCTGAGTAACTGAAGGAAGGCCATGTTTGGCTTGAGTTTCCAGAGCTTGGTTACAGATTAGCCAGAGAAGATGTGGGCAGACAACACTGGGCCTTGGCTGTTATGTGGCCTGTGAGCAATGGAGAGCCACTGGAGAGAGTTTTACATGAGAAGAGGAATGACAGTGTCATGATCTGACTCAAATTTTGAAGTTATTTCTCTGGCAGCAGAGTCAAAAATATAAAGTGTAACTCTCTCCAGTGGGCCATTCCCCAGTCCCAAGGCCATATTCATCACTGGAGTGGGAATATTCTAACCAGGCACTACCAAGCCCAGTCAAGTGTTCCACATCACACACCATCATCTAGGTCTCTCAAAACAACAAATGAACCAGTAAGAACCACAACATATAATGGATTATGTTCTTATGAACCCTAAAGAGTAGGTCCAGTTAGCTGTGGCATGTTTTTGCTTTCAGATTTCATGCATTCTGAACCTAAATATCTACCTAGTAGTGTCTGACGTGATATTGAGGGCAGTGATTCCCAGACCTGGCTGTATATTAGAATCACCTGGGAAGCTTTTAAAACACCATGGCAATCCCTGGGCCCCAAGAACACCAGAGCCAAGACCAATCTCTGGAGATGGATCCCAGGCAAGTTTTAAAAGTTCTGCCCACTATTCCAGTGAGCAACCAAAACTGAGAACTGCTGGTCCAGGCCCTTAGCCCCTCAAAAATTTTAATGTGCACAGGAACCACCCCCAGGGATCTTGTTAAAAATGCAGATTTTAGGCATTCTAACATAATAGTATCCTATCACCTCCTTTCATTTTAAGAAGGAAAATTGGTTGCAAAAGAGTATCTGTCAACTAGACTCTATTGATGATCTAAATTACATGAGCTCTGGAAAAACAGCTTAAAAAGATGTTTAATTAGAATCAAAGACCTCCATCACTGTTCCCATCTACTCTCTTTTCCAGCCATCTATAGGTAACTAACTATGTAGAATTATGGTTTGGTCTGACCTTGGAGAAACAATAATTTGCTCCCGTTTTTTTAAGCAAAAAGAAAGGCATTCCAAATTCCCTTAGTCCCAGCTCCCCTAAGCCTTCTCCACTGTCTGCACCAGCTCCCCAAGGGGCTTGCCTCCTATCCATGGATGACACCACAAGGCTCGCTATTTCTATCTGCAGAGACTGGGCTGACATCAACAGTTCTCCATGGCTCTGCCAAGGGCTGCTGCTCTCCCTGCAGCCCAGTGACAAATGGCCTTTACAAAGCCTGACATTTTTTGTAATTAACTCTCCTTTGTTCAAGGAGCAAAGACAACTCCCAAAGTCTCTCTTGCAGCCAACTATGGCAAACCCAAGTGTGGGCCAGGTCCCCTATGGTCACGGTGTGCTACCCAGGCCCCCAGGACTCAGATATCCATCTTCAGAGCTTTTCTTTAGTTATTAAAGGGGATTGTCATGTGTCAAGATGGCAGGATCTAAACCCAAGTCACAGGGATGGGCTCGCTGAAATCCGTAAGGAACTTAAGACCTTATGGGGAACGCAGGGACAGGGAAGCAAGAACATAACTAAACACACAAGAAATACTAATCTGTTTTTTTCTCTCTAAACTAAAAGAAAGACAGCATGCATTTACATCTAACAATGGGACTATTACCATATTTTGGTGCAAACTCTCTCTCCTCTGCATTTTCAAAATGATGCTCGTAAATCCATTTTGTGCAACTGCCAATAACATTCTTGCCAGTGGCTTTTTTCCCCAGTGTTTGAGTTGTCACCCAAAGCACAAAGCCTTTCTGATTTTATGCTGAAGAGCTTGACTCCCCTCTGCCCTGCTCCACTTGTGCTATGTACATTCACTTATTAAAGGTTCTGAAAAGTCCCGTAGTAAATAAGCCCATCTAATTCTGTTTAAAACAGCTTTTTTCCAAATGTCATTTGTTTAACAATATTTACCAATGGTCGGTCTGCTCTAGGCCAGGAGCTGTTCTAGGCCCTAGGGATATGTAAGGCAACACACACTTCCTGCTCTCATAGTACTTGATTCTAATAGAGGAAGACGGACCATAAATAAACAGCCATGAATGTATAGGATCACACCAGGCACTGAGAGCCATCAATAATAACAAAGAGTAAAGGATAAAGGGAGAACCTCTCAGAAGGGATAATCTTGAGAAGAGGCAGAACAGAGTGAGGAAATAGATCATGCAGCCACCTGGGCAAAGAGCTTGGTCTGAGTCCCAGAATCCCAAGACCAGCAAGGAGGCTAGTGTCCCTCACGCACTGATGAAGAGGCAAAGGACATGGCCCTGGTGAAGAATCCTGTCAATGGTCCTTTACTGAGATGGAAACTCCTGGATCCCCACCCCCAATCACATATGTACTCCAGGGAATGGATCATATGTGCAGTTTTTAAAACATTCTATCAAAAGATATCCAGGACACTTCACAAAAATAATCTGGCAACACCCAAGGAACTGGTAATCCTGGGAACACTTGTGGGAAGAAAGGACACTAGATAGCCAAAGGCTGTAGCAACAGGGGTCATTCCACAAATCAAATCAACTCTTCCATACCTTTTGGTTTTGAACTGAAATATATTACCTAATCAATAATATCATTAAATTACAACCTAATAAAATATTGCATATAAATTTATAATATATATAAAGTTCTATTATGGTCACTGTGATTTTTAGATTCATAGTAAAGGTTTCTCTCAATCTAAGTTCATAAGTTTCTTTTAGAATGATCATCCTTAGTTACCAGAATGAAAACATACTCCTCCGTCCAGATGCAGAACAGATGTGAGGTTAAGACAGATTTTCATGAATAGTAATAATAAACATCAAATACCTATGTGGGGCTCATTGCATGTCAGGAAGCACTCTTAGCAGGTACAAAACTCAACTAATCTCAGCATGAGAGCTTGCTCCTATTATTATATTTAAGAAAACATTTCTTTTAAGTACCAATGTACATACTCCTATCTAAGAGGTTTAAGTTTCCTAAAATCTCCATGAGAGCAAGAAAGGAAGCAATGAGAATACTACATGACACAAGCCTCAAATAACTAGTGATCTCACATTCTTCTTCACATACCTACTGAGGCCTGGGGTCCACTTTCCTGCAGTATTCCCTTTTCCCGAGGTTCTTGGTTCCTTCTATCACTGTATAGAACAATTAAAAAATAAATAAGCACCATTAGAAGTGACAAGATCAACTTACTTAACACAATTTGCTTTATACTTGTGGAAATATTTAACCACTTTGATAACTCAAGCATATTTTGCACAACAGGTCTCTTAGAGAGGTGGGTTGCATTTGGATTTCTTGGTAAGTGAATAAATATTCTAAATGTACCAAAAGAGCTAGCTATTTAAAAGACTACCCTGCAACGTAGTATGAAAAATGAAATATGTTTTGTAGCAAAATTTAATTATACCTGTTTTATATGTTTGATATTAGATAAAGGATTCCTGTATAAGATGATCAAATCTTCTAATACAAAGTATACTCTGGGTTTTATATTTCTTCAGGCATTAACACCCCAGCAAATTTTAGCCAAATGTCATATCATGAATGAATAATTGGAAATCAAACTCATGGAATTAGAGAGATTACAGATTTAACAGGGTTAGTTAGCTGGCAAAATAAGCACACAACTCATTTAACACAAAACACAGTCCAAGCTTCCTGGGATGCATGGAGTATAGTCTACTGTGTTCCTTCTAAAGAATTTAATGTGAAGATAAAAAGCAATTTCATGCTAGATAGAAAAGTTAAGCTTTATGTACTGACAGCCAGATTCTTCCAGACCTGGATCAGGACAAAACAGACTCCTGGCTTTTGTAATCTCTAAGGCCCTGTATTCATCTCTCTCCCATCTTTTTATTGTATAACCTTAAGCTTTTAAGAAATGATCTGAATATAACTGCAAATGGCCTAGGATATTTACTAATTCTTTCCTTTTTTTGTTCAGTTTTGCAAGCATTCCTACGAAGGAAAGAATTTTTCTCTCGGGTATTTCTTTGAGAGTCTTTTCTTCAGGGTCAAGAGCAAAGGTGGAAAGATTTTTTTCTTTCCATCTTGAAATTTCAGTTTCAACCAAAGATGGGCTATGCCCTCATTTTAATGGAGAGAAACGAGAGAAAACCATTCCTCTTTGTGTCTTTTCTCTTTCACCCACCCAGTCACTGAAAAGACGGAGTTAAGTAGGTGCTGGAGATCAGCGCAGGAGCTAAACTCGGCTGCCTAGTTTTAAGAATGTCTGACACATTTCTCTTTCGAGCAGTTAAAATTGACCAATACCCAACTCTTTATGGCTCAAAGCCCTAGACTTTGGGTGCTGGAGACAAAAACCCCTTTATGACACTGCTCCGGCTGAGCTAACCAGAATCTGGCCCGCTGCTTTCTATTCACTGCCATCCCTTTCCTGCCTTTAGTCGACTTGGAAAACAAAACGACAGCTTTCGGAAAACCTGGTTCATCTTCCCAGCCAGAAGTGCAGAAACGTCTGCCTCAACCTCCAACTTTTGACAGGCCTCGCGACTGTCAAAATCAGAGCTGAGAGCACTGAGGGAACACGCATTTGCAACCGTCCCCTCCGCTCACCCACCAAGACAATGCACGTAGGAAAGGCCGCCCGTCGTCCCTCTTTCCTGCATGTCCCTTGCACTCCAAATGGAACATTTAATTCCTCTTTCCGCCCCCAAATACAAATGCAAAAATCTTGGCCAAAGACGAGAGAAGTGAATGATAGATCATCACTGAATATCCATAATCCAGCGAGCACAGCGTCCCGCAACAAGGACGCCGCCTCATTCAATAATTAATCCCGCCAGCTATGGAGGTCTTCGAGCCGCCAAACACCTTGGGATGCTTGCTTCTCGCGAAGAAAAGCCGCTTTGCCTGGTTTTCCTTCCACCCGGTGGGGTGGGGGTTGGGTCTGGGGGGGTCTGTGGAACCTACCCCACTGCCGCGCCCGGCGCTCACCCTCCGTGGAGTCGGAGCCCTGGGCGGCCCTGGGGCGAAGCTCGACTCGGCCTCGCGCACCTGGGGGCCAAGCACACAGGTCCCACTGTTCCGGAGCCTGGGAGGCCTGCCCCGCCCGAAGGCCTCCGCTCCGCCTGCCCACCCGGCCTGGGAGGAGACCGACGCCACACCGGAAAACGGAAGCCCGACGCGCCAGGCCCTCAAGGGGGCGAGGCCGCCACCGCCCCCCGCGGCCCACGCGCGTCTATACGCGCCGCCAGCGGTCCGTGCGCGTCCCCGTCGTGCGCGCGCTGCTTGGGGCCGCAGAGGAGTGAGGATGCGCGGCTGAGGGATCCAGGGACTTTATCTCCTGGTCGCGTCGCCTGTGCGGGGTTCTGCGCCCAGGCCTTGCGCTTGCCTACCTCCCCGTGAAAACAAATTACATCCCAGGAAATTAGAGACGTGGAGACGTGAGGCCAGACCACGTCCCATCAGGTCTCCAGCCCGAACACAGGTTTAGTGTTTGAGAAAGGAAAAAAAAATTTTTTTAAACTGAAAAGTGAGGTACCTCCGAGCATTTCTAATCAGCCTACCTAGCAAAAGTGGGGCCTTCTGTTCTTTACAGACCCCCCATTGGCTGGCAGCTTGACAACTTTTTTGTCAAGGTAAACTTGACTCATAAACAACTGCAAATAAACTGAGAAAGGCCAGAACAGTGTACAGCCCTGTGGTGTAGTACCTTTAAAAAAATTAATTTTTCAGTGACAGTTGACATACAATATTAGTTTCAGATTTGTAAGGTGAATGGATGAAGAAGTACAAATCACCAATTGTAACTTCTCAACGTGCACATATGGATAATATAGCAGAATTTGAGGCTGGTACAGAAGTTAGTTCCAAAGGTGTTGAGATTTTATTGCCCTGGAAAAGGTAAAATGGTTCTGATCTAACCTACATGTTTGTTAAGTACCTAACTATATGTGTGTGCGTAAGATTTTTGTCAAGGCTTCAAGGAAGCAGTTTTTTTTGTTGTTGTTCCCTCCTTAATGAGTTAAATATATCAATGGGGCTTACCCTTTCAGAATTTCACTTTAGCCTGGTTATAAACCATTGTGGCTTCAAGTAGGAAGATGTTTTACTTGGCCTTTTGGTCACTCATTCAGATATTTAGCCCTTTCGGCGCTCTGGTCAACATGAAGCATTTGCTTTTTCCTTGAGGATTCGAATGGATGCACAAACGTGGGAAAAGCACAATAAGTAAATGTGGAGCCTAGGTGTGACATAGAATATTATATAGGATTTCAGGGTCTGCGCTTGAGAATTAGATCTCATGGGACCAAATCCTTATTCCACATCTAACATATGACCCTGTCAAGTTCTTTTGTCTTTCTGTGCCCGTTTCCTTATCTATCAAATGGGGATATCATGTAGTATTTATCTCAGTCTGATATTGAATAATAATGGAAATAACTGCATTTAAAGTATATAGCACTGTTGTCCCCCAGTGGTAAACCTTACAACATAAGCAACTTTCATTCTCATTTATTATATAGCATTCTCAAGAGGCTGTTCAAATATTAAAAGATATAGTTGTTTCTAGGAGCTTACTCATTGACGACTAAGGTAAGAGTCTTTTTCTTGTTTGTTTTTTCCCAAATTATTCCACTTCCTCTTTTTGTCTATAAATGGACTTTTGGAAAGTATTAGTATTTACTTTTCATAACAGATGGATAGATTCTAAAGTAACAGTTCTCAAATTGTGATCTGTGGACCCTCGGAGGTCTCCCGGATTCTTTGAGAGATTACAATGTCAAAACTGTTTTCATATTAATACTAGGACATTGTCTTCACTAATCAGACATTTGCTCTGATGGTGCAAAAGTAATACTGGGTAAAACTGATGACAGCATAAATCCTGGTAGTGGAACAAAATTGACTCGGTAGTCATTGCATTTGTCACCACCATGCACTTGCGATAAAAATATAGAAACGCAAAGTGTCACTGAAGACTGTCCCTTTGAAATGGGAACTGGCAGTGCACATAAACACTCCTGCTGCAAACAGAAGTATAATAGTTGTCTGGAGGCAAAGTTTGGGGCTACAGTGGTTTGCAATGCAAAACAACTAATTGCTTTTTATTTTTTTAATGGATCATTTTTACTTAAAAGAAAAACTGACAAACTATGGTTCCACCGACTTAGGTATTTGGTAGATGTTTTCTCCAAAATGAATGAAATGAGACTGTCACTTCAAAAAAACAACTGATAGTATTTGTTGTCAATGGTAAAATTCAGGCTTTCAAGTGAAAATTTAACTTTTTGGAAGACCTATGTTTGCCACTATGAGTTTGACAGCATCCCACTACTTAATTTTTCTGATGAAATCAGTGGTGATTTAACAACCATTTTTTTAAAATATGGTATACTGATAGATCAATGATGGCAAAATAAGAAACAAATTATATTTAGCCTTTCCCAGGTTCTTGGCACAGAGCTCCTAAAACCGTTGTAATTTACCAAGTGATAGAGTGATAGGGCCATCTTTTGTTCTAATACTTGACCTTTGTTCCTGGTTCCTGACAAAAAACTCCTAATCCCTTAGAATTTCCTGGTGACAGGAGTGTCTTGTGTCTGATGAGGCAACTCTAGATGGTCCTTTGTAGAGCTTCAGGTGGAGACCAAATCTTGATTAGAAGCCTGGAATTTTCAGCTCTACTTCTGTAAACCTCTGGGGAGGAGAGGAGCTGGAGATTGAGTTAATAATTGATCGTGCCTATGTGATGAAACCTCCATAAAAATGTCTAAACGACAGGGTTTGGAGAGCTTCCAGGTTGGTAAGCACATTGAGAGGCTTAAAATATGTTACTTATGGTAACATATATGGGGAATATTATCATTTTTAAATGAATTAATAAATGTTTTAAATTTCTCAGTTTTAATTACTAATACTGTAAGTATAGATAGATACAATCCAGATTAACAAAATCTCTTTGGGTTCCTCAACCATTTTTAAGAGTGTAAGTGAATCCTCAGACCAAAACATTTGAGAACTGCTGTTCTAGAAGAAACCCAAAGTCTTAATGGTAAGAGAAAAATATACCAGATTCTTTTACCCTCCACAATGTCCAAGTGTGTATCTTTAAAGGCAAGGCTGGAGGTGCCTGGGCTGGAGGTGATATTCGGGAAAGACAGAAGTTAACCACCTATCAAAAACAATTGCCACCTGTTTGAACCAAATCAGTGGAATAATCAGAGATCTATCTAGAGAATTTGAGATGCCTCTTATAGGGGGTGCAAGTTGTATGGAGAACTATCATCCTGCAAGAGTAGGAATTTGCCAGTTCCTCTGAGCATTCTGTCATATTAAGATTTTATACTTTTTTCTCCAGTTCTTTATTTTCAGTGGAGCACAAATGCACTTGGGGTCCTTTAGTGTCAGTGCTAGAAATGACATTGCTTTCCTTCTTGCCTCTTTTCCAGCTCTGAGCTGTGCCACAGAGAGGCTTCCACCATATCACCCTGCCTTTTCCTGAATTCTCAACTCAGTATGCACAGTGGACACCAGCTACCCACAGTTTTCTTTTAAAAAGTGTGTTTGGAAGTTATTTCTCAGCTACACCAGACAGTAAAGGTAACAGTAAATTGCATATAGTCAGTGTATTTCTCAGTTCCTTTTCCTGAGCCCACTGAAAAATGGCACCCATGGTAGGTGTATAAGGAAACACTTACCAGAGCTAAAATGACATTTTGTCCAGGTTAAGGCTTTAGGAGAGCTGTAGTGGCCACAACCAGGCATCTCTATGTAGTTCTAGAACTGTGAAATGTTCAGTTAATTAGAGTAGACGGGTTGTTGGAGGCAAGGATTATACAAACCCATACAAGTTGATTTCCCTTAGATGGCTGTGCAATTCAAAGTTTTTTTTTGTTTGTGTTTTACCAGGACATGGCTGCATGAAACAGGCTGGATTCCATGTTCTGGCCCTTAGAAAACCTCTAATGAGTTTGTTAGGGTCTCTGTTAGGGGGCTATTTTGTTAATAATTTCTCCAAAATTTGCTAAAATACGACGCGGCTTTACATTTAGAAAAATTCATCAAGATGATTTATTTCATATTTTAAGTCAGAGCATTTTTAAGACCTACATTTTGAATTGTTGGAAATATACTTTAAAGACTAACCAAGGTGAAATAATTCAAAGAGGTATTGAACTCTTGAAATGGGAAGAGATCACAGACCCCGCTCCCCCACCCCCATATCAGGTTAAACTATATTCCCAATATAGTTGGCTAAAGATAGAAAATTATATTGGAAGTAAGATAACCACAGAGTAGGTTTGGGCCATGTGACTGGATTCTGGCCAATGAGATGTACACAGAAGCGATCTAAGCCATCTATAAGGCTCACCCTTATGAGCCTGCCATGTGATCCTGCGGTTTTCTTCCCTTGCCATTATCATGTATTCTAGAAAGCAGATGGAAGCAGCTGTGATCCCTGAGTCACCATTGATGTGAGTCATAAGTTGTAGTCAAAGTTGCAGTTCTTGCATAGAATAAGATGAGCAAGAAATCAGGATTCGTTGTGTTAAGCCAAGGATAGTCCAGGGTATATGTCGTATACAGCACAGCCTATCCTAATACAATATTCCAGTTTAGTGATAAGAACACTGGACTCAAAGTCAGGAGTCTTAGATTCTATGAGGTTGAACTATAAGAAATTGCTAATAATCAGTAGTTTTTGATGTTCTAGAAGAAATGGCAATTCACATCATTCACCCTTACAGTTCCACCTCTGTGACCAGCTAGATATGTGACATTGAATAATCCACTAATCCCCTTTCGATCTAATTTTTCTCATCTATAAAAATCATACCTAATAGACCTCTATAAAACACTCCACTCAAGAAGAGCAGAATATACATTATTCTCAAGGGTACATAACATTCTCCGGGATATATATGCTTTATGCTAAGCTGTAAAACAAACTTCAATAAATTTAAAAGGCTTGAAATTATATAAAGTATGTTCTCTAACCATAATGGGATTAAATTAGAAATCAATAACAGCAGGAAATTTGGGAAATACACAGAATTAAACAACACACTCCTAAATAACAAATGGGTCAAAGAAGAAATCACAAGAAATTAGAAAATATTTTTAAATAAATGAAAATGAAAACACAATATACCCAAACATATAGAATACACTGCA